TACATTCCATTTTTTTTCTCCTATGAAGATGAAGATGAAGATGAAGATGACAATGCTGAAGCTTTACAATTTGATTTCAATACAATAAGAATTGCAACTGACAACTTCTCCAGCGTGAACAAACTTGGAGAAGGTGGATTTGGTGCTGTTTATAAGGTACTTACAAATTGATGAGGTGGAAATTATTCTTCTAAATTGATGAGTTCATTATTATCCCTAAACCGTTTCAGGGCAGGCTTCAAAATGGAAAAGATATAGCTGTGAAGAGGCTTTCGACAAATTCTGTTCAAGGGGAGCCGCAATTTAAGAATGAAGTTAGGTTACTGGCAAGACTTCAACATAGGAATTTGGTTAGGCTACTAGGTTTTTGCTTGGACGGAAATGAAAGGCTTCTCATCTATGAGTTTGTTCCTAACTTAAGCCTTGACCGCTTCATATTTGGTATGGTTGCAAACCTTTTTCAGCAAATGATTGAATATTTTGTTTCAAATATCATGCTTTTAAACCTCTTAATTTGGTGAATTGCAGATCCAATCAAGCGATTACGACTTGATTGGGACACAAGATACAAAATCATAGGGGCAATTGCAAGAGGAATTCTTTACCTTCACGAAGATTCTCGATATCGAATAATTCATCGTGATTTAAAAACTGCCAACATTCTATTAGATGAAGAAATGAACCCTAAAATTTCAGATTTTGGGCTAGCAAGGTTGTTTGCAAATGATCAAAGTCAAGCTGATACAGGAAGAGTTGTTGGAACATTGTAAGTATAAAAAATCTTTGGAACAACTTGTTGCTACAGTTTCTATGTTGTCCAAAATACAGCATTACTTAGAGCTCTCCATTCTCATGCATTCAGGGGATATATGGCTCCAGAGTACACAAGAAGAGGGCATTTTTCAACTAAGTCTGATGTTTATAGCTTCGGGGTGCTAGTTTTGGAGATCATCAGCGGGCAAAAAATCCATTCATGGATTGGGGAAGATGGGGAGGATCTTCTTACTCATGTAAGTTTCTTTCTTATGTTCTATGAGTGAGTTGAACAAACATGCTAAGAAATTGAGAAATTATGTAATATGTACTCAAACTATCTATGCTTTGTTAAATATTTTCCTTTCAGGCATGGAAACATTGGATGGAGGGGACTGCTCTAGATTTGATAGATCCCATTTTGAGAGATGGTTCCAATGGCGAAATGATGACATGTATCCAGATGGGCCTACTATGTGTTCAGGAAAATGTTGCTAAAAGACCAACCATGGCGTCTGTTGTTCTCATGCTTAGTAGCAGTTCTGGACCTCTTCCA